TAAATGTGCCCCGAAATACTATTATCAATTTTGCGATTTGCGTTTTTGCTGGGCATTGCGCATGAAATCACATTGACGTCAAGCACATAATATATGTATATGACGTCAAACAATTAACGGCATTAATTTCTCCTGTTTGTAGTTGTGTGATACCTAGGGTTGCCAGATGGCTGGTAAATTCGGGGTTTGCCCCGAATTTTGCGTTGCGTCTTGTCCCGTGTCCAGTAATTAGACCTTATTGTCCCGGATTCCGCTAATGTGCTGGTTTCGTAACAAAATAAACTAATAACGAATGACACCGCTGGCCTGCTTGATGTCATTCAGATTCAGACCCCTCCCCCCCCCCCACAATTTAATTTGGGGGTGATGGGGGGTTTGATTTGATGCTTCAGTTTTTCAAAATTACTTTCAAAGATTGGATGTTAAAAAGTAGGTATAAAAGTTGAAATTGACATATGACTGTTAGTCATATGTCAATATCAACCCTAAAGGCCTTTATTAAGAATGTCATAAATTTTATAGCCCGCCATTCAAAAAGTTTGCCCACCACTGCTCTATAAGCTATGGTGGCCGCTTACCATCAGTCGGGCCATATGTTTGTTTGTCATCTTTTTAACATACAAAATAAACTACCTAGAATAACAACTAATTTAATAATAGCTCAGAACTAAGATACGAAAATACAAACATTGATTACAACAACCTTGTCTGCCAGACAGTATAATTAGTTTTTTTTTTATTTTTAATCCATTTTACTTTTACTTCCACATCTCGTCATATTTTTATAAACAAATATGATAGGAGCGGTGATAATCTATTAATAATATATTATTTTGACGTGTGTAAACCTTCGTTCTATTTTTAACTACCATTTCAATATGAAGAGAATGTGACTCGCATGGTTTAGTTACAAAATGTAAGCTATTCATTAATCGGCATTCATCAGCATGCGGATTCGCATCACGAACCAATTATGTTGGTTAATTTGGTAAAATTGGTGATTCTCTAGTGTTCCATAAAGATAATCAGTAGGGTGACATAACCTCCTTCGTATTCCAGTTTAGTTTGATTGCATCGCACGCATCCGTGACTCTGCGAACGTGCACTGCTCTGTGCTGTAGGGTAGGCAATAACAATGAATGATCATAAAAAAAATGAATGCTGAATTTTGAAACGGTAAGATATAAATATACTGTTCCATAGCTGCGTTCTAGAAACTAAAACGAGCTTTATTTTGTGCTGCTTTTTTTATACGAAGGACGTATTACCCCACCTCACCCTGACGATGAGTGTAATGGGAGTGAAGCCCATGAATGAATATGATGCGGCAGAAAATCAGAAACACATGAGTCTTGGCGGCTTGAATCTCGTCCCCCAACCGCGTGGAAATGAACAAACCTTACTCACTAACAGAAACGCGAATTACACCACGAAAATGTTAATATTAATTTACTGTATGAAAAGCTGAGTTATTTCCCCAGACGGGTAGTCTAATTCAAGATGTTGCTATACCCCATCCATCTTTAGACGAGCAAATGACTATTTCTTTCCATATGCAAAGCGACGATTACGAATATAGAGACAAACATTCTATTCGATCTTTGTCATTTTGGACTTCGCATAGGTGTGTTTAAATATTAGATCCGACGATTGACAGCCCTGCTTACGAGTGCTGTGCATGTAGTGTGAGTAAACAAACGTAACTCACACCCAATGAGTGAGTAAAAGTGCGCGCGGCAATGACTCGTATGGGCAAGGTCGTGCCGATGCGAGCGCGGAGCAGCGGCGCCGCGGCGGTGCTGCTAATGGGAATATTACCCTTGATGACCCACGCATGTCTACGTGCAGCAGACGGCTGGTGATGAAACGAATGTTCTGAAATATCAGGAAAACAGCTTTGAGGGCACAGAAAGTAGCTGCGTATTCCTTAACTTTAAAGTTTTGAATCGACGTAATAATCATCATCATCATCATCAGCCTACTAATGTACCCACTGCTGGGGCACTGGCCTTCCCTATGGGTGGAATAGGGAGATTGAGCCATGACCCACCACGCGGGCCTAGTGTGGATTGGCGGGTGCTAATGACTGCAGATGCAGCCGGGACCAACGGCTTAACGGGGCTTCCGAAGCACGGAGGAACTCGATGTAGAAGATTTTTGGTCACCCATCCAATGACCGACCATTGCGAAAGTTGCTTCAACGATCTGAGCCGAACGAGCTAACCACCTGCGCCATCGAGCTCCTCCTCCGAGGACAACAATATTTCCTATTAAAAGTTAATTAAATTTCCCCGTCTTGATTAAGGAGTGAAGCCAGTCCGGTTTTGAGGACAGCTGATGCGACGAAAAAACGTGGCGCTTCAGCCACCCTTGACCTGCGCTAGCCTGTATCCAATAATTTCTCTAACCTGTAGAACTTTAGCAACCCTATTCGCTACAGGTTTACAATATTACACAAACGTGCTGTTTTTCTTAGTCTTGTGGGTGACGTCTTTACCAGACGGGCGTGTGGAATATTACTTATATTTATAGTCTCAAGTAGCCACTAAAATGCCACTAGGCAAATTTTTACGATTCACGAGTTCAAAGGTTCAATCATAAACAGGAATATTGAAATGAAATAAAAATATGCTATAAAATTAACTTTATAGAAAGTTTTTGTTTCTTAGGTTTTCACACCACTACTTACGCCACGCCACACCTCAAATAAAACAATTTTCAACGGTATAGATGCACTGATTTATTTATTTATTTTCAGGATGCGTAATCTTAATTATAATTTTATTTACACTGTCGAGCTACCTTAGGAAGACTATTATTGAACGTTCGGATATTTCATTGGAAGATTTTTAAAACTTTATTGTGTATGAATGAATGAATTACCTGATTTAATTAATAAAGTGCTTTATTTAATTATTTTTTATAATTTTGAGTTTATTTTTTTGACCCTAACTTACAAACTATTATAGAAAGTTCTTTTGAATCTGTTTGAATTTTGTTTCGATTTCCAGAGGGAATGACGGAAAATCCGGTATATAATACTTTATCTCTTACTTTTTAAACAAAGTTTATCTATGCAACTTTCTGATATCTGTGTAGTTATATAAATATATGTACACTAACGATACAGAAATAACATCAGTGATAGAAGTTACAGACCGATACAAAGTGATATAGGTACAATTATAAACATACAAATGAAATAAATGTATGCAACAAAACATTTGAGAAAAACTACCTAAATCTCAATGCGTAAACTGAATAAGATTTTAGTCGGATCTGTCAGGGACGTATTTCAACAAAAGCTGAAAAGGTGGTCTTGCTCACCTTAAACTAGTAAAGGCTAAAACTGATTAGCTAGCTCTAGCTATAAATTTAGTGATACAAGGTCTTCGGCGGTCTAGAACAACAGGGAGGGGTAACAATCTTGAAACATTATTGTGTAAGATGTTATTCTAAAATGTTTATTCTACTTTGAAACAAAAATAGTACTCCAACACGTCGTCGTAAGTTAATCTCTCAAAAAGTTCGAGAGGGATGTTACAAATGTGATGTTCTAGGTATTAAAATTGCTTAACGGTTAAGCTCTCAAGTGTGTTAAGTAATAAAATAAGCACACAGTATACTACATTACTATAATGAAATTTATGAGTAATTGTAGAGTAATAAAATCTAAATTGTTATTCTGGTCATTGTTATTATGTGGTCTGTAGAACATTTTTAAATGTCTAGTCTAGGCAGGATTTGTAAATAATTGTATACACAATGCTAGACTGGGAGCGAAAAATATAAAATCACGCTGATTTCTTACCTACTTTTCAGACTATCATCATCATCATCTCATTTCAAAGGTGCTCCATCTTTCCAGCCAAACTACATGCCTTCTCTGGAAGAGACGTTTATATTGGTCACAATGTCCACACTAAGAAAAAGAATTACAAATTACAAATGCGCTATCTACTATGCCATTGTCATTTAGCTTCTCTCGTTAAGGTAATATGGCGTAGTTCAAAGGTATTTGGTACGCATGTCAGGTCTGGAATCCTCAGTATGATTGTTATATTAACCAATTGGAAAAGATCCAAAAAAAGTTCCTAAGGTTTTAAACTTCAAATTTAGGTTAAGTCCAAGTTCAAATTATACTGTTGACTGCCAACGACACCATCTTCTTCCATTCAGCAAGCGTAGAAAAGTTGGGGACCTAACGTTTTCCACAACTTAATTTTCAGCAAGATAGACAGCAATGAGCTTCTATAATTGGATAAAATCCAGGTACCATTCCGTACAGTTGCCAGACGTAATTATCTGCGATTCCATACTGATTTATGTTCGACAAATTAAAGACAGAATTCCTACTATAATAGAGTAACTCAAAACTTCAACACTAACTATTCAAGTGATGTAGACGTGTTTCTGGCGTGACAAAATTACTTCAAAAACATTGTGAAGAAGTAAACAACTTCTTCACAATGTTTTTGAAGTAATTTTGTTTTTTTATTATTAATAATAATAATAAAAACTTAATTAAAATTATCATCATTTTCTCTGTGGATATGGCTTTATGCTTAGTTTTATACTTCTGTATTTTTGTTTTTATTTTGTTTTAAAATAATCTACGGCCTCGTAAGTGGATTGGATAAAGGATATCTATATAGTGTTTGATTTGTATTTGTGAAAACTGTGTAAGGCTTATCAATGCTACATCATTTTGTTTTATCCTTTGTTTTAACATGCCGTTTGTTTTCCATGAATAAATAATAAAAAAAATATGCACTATAGGGACCTCGTTGGCATTATGAGTAAGTGCTTTGCATTATCTTTAGCGGCTTCAGAAAGCAAGTTAAGCCGTGTTGGTCCCGGCTGTAAGTGTCTTCGTTAGGCCATCTATCCGCACAGGGCATGCGTGGTTGGGTTTGATCAAATTGTCTATTCGGTCTGGTATGTGCTACAACATCGATAGGTTTATGATAATGATTATAAAGTACAATGTTTTTCTCTAGTGGCCACTGCGCTACCCGCCTCGCAAGTCCTACGTCCGCCGGCAACGCATCATCCCACCGGAGACGCCATTCCCGTGCGCCGAATCGGTCTCCTTCGGCCGCAGCTCGTCCACGCCCACATCTGTGCATCGGCTACGGCCTGGCGACATTGAGGTGGTTGCCGCGATAGGGGACTCCCTTGTCGCCGGCAGTGGCGCACTCGAAGAGTTCGCGTTGGGTGCCTTCGTCGAGTATAGAGGAGTGTCTTGGTGTGCAGGTATTGTCGTATTCAACAACAAACTTATCTAATAATTATGTTTAATGAAAATCACATCGGTGTCTTGCTCACGCCACCATGCATGTGAAGTAGTGGCACCAATGATGGGCAAGAACCAATTAGTTATAAGTTTTATTTTATAAGAAAATATAATTAGAAAAAATTCCACGCGGACCAGGCAGCAGACGGGACTCGAACCAATAATAAAAAAATATAAGGGTAACAAATACTTTCGAGCTAACATTGAATCAGTATCAACATCGTGATATCTTGACATACCCTTGCTATGACCTTTTCATGACCCTGGCGTCCCCGATAAAGTGAGATCGATTGATTAATCAGGTGGCGATAGTACGTGGCGCGAGTTCCTCACGCTGCCCAACATCCTGAAGGTGTACAACCCGAATCTGCGCGGGTTCTCCACCGGCACTGGAGAATGGTTGGCGCGCAACGCTCGTTTCAATGTCGCCTTCCCGGTCGCCTCTGACGGGGACGCCCTCAAGCAAGCCAAGGTAACATAATCATCTTCATAACCTATTAATGTCTTGTGCCTTTCCTATGGATGGAATAGGAAGATTGGGCCATGATCCACCTCACGGGCCCAGTGCGGATTGGTGTGTGTTAACGACCGCAGATGCAGCCGAATAGCCGGGACAAACGGCTTAGCGTGCCTTCAAAATTTTTGGTGACCAATCATAATCATCTTAGCAGATGTTATTTTAGTAAGCGACTGCCATAACCTATAGACACTTGATCTACTTATTATTGACACAAAAATATAGATTATGGCCACCCAGTTTTTTTGTGAAAAGATGATATAATGAAGAAAACCGGCATAGTGTAGTGTTTATACACAGGGATAAAAATGCATCTCTTCTTCTATATAAGTATACTGTATGTAAGAGCCACTAAATAAAATACTATTATATTATTAGAAAAATATTATTTAGCTATTTACAACTATCTTTATGATACCATGTCCGATGTCGCAAACGCTGTAACCGAGGATGGTATCAGCTTTGAGAATACAGTTCACTGTGTTGTGGTCAGTGGAGCAGCTGTACCGGATTATTGCGTTCAGGTTTGACCATGCTTCAGAAGGCATTTAGAATTTCAGTCAAACGAAATATCACAATTTGTTGCTTATATTCTTGATATATTGTAAATGGTACATTCAAATAGGTTACCGGTCATTCAAGTAATTTCAAGATTTCTTCGTATACCTTCTGAATGAGTAATGAAGAAACAGAATGAGATTATATGTAGCGAAATCCTATGTCCTTGGTTTTTATTACTATTTCTTTGTTATTGTTACACGCTTCTTTCTATTATTTCAAATTCAAAGGTCGTCTGAAACAGGTCGTTCTTAAGCTCTAAGCGATAAGAGCGGTCACTTGGGGCCATAGGTTCGCATTTCATGTAAAGTTTTATTAGATATTACATTTGTTAATAAATCATAGTTACTATAATTTTTTTAGTAAATTTATAAGCAAATTTATACGTTATCGTGGTAAAATACCTATTTACCCGAGAATAATTTATTTATCAGTATAATGTTGATATTTCAATGACTATTTCAGATAATAGTAGCGCGCATGAAGGCTTCCCCTGACATAGACTACGAGCATGACTGGAAGATGCTGACCATATTCCTGGGAGCCAACGACCTTTGCTCGGCCTCCTGCCTGTCCCCGGTAGCGTGGTCACCCGCCGCGCACGCCCGCAAGCTGGCCCGGGCGCTCGACTACCTGTACGCGCAGATGCCCCGGGTCATTGTCAACTTGATCCCGGTTCTTGGTAAGCCAATGGTTAAAGGAATGGAAGATGCTGACCATATTCCTGGGCGCCAACGATCCATGCTCACCTTCTGCCTATTTGCAAGCTGGCCAGGGCGCTCGACTACCTGTACGCGCAGATGCCCCGGGTCATTGTCAACTTGATCCCGGTTCTTGGTAAGCCAATGGTTAAAGGAATGGAAGATGCTGACCATATTCCTGGGCGCCAACGATCCATGCTCACCTTCTGCCTATTTGCAAGCTGGCCAGGGCGCTCGACTACCTGTACGCGCAGATGCCCCGGGTCATTGTCAACTTGATCCCGGTTCTTGGTAAGCCAATGGTTAAAGGAATGGAAGATGCTGACCATATTCCTGGGCGCCAACGATCCATGCTCACCTTCTGCCTATTTGCAAGCTGGCCAGGGCGCTCGACTACCTGTACGCGCAGATGCCCCGGGTCATTGTCAACTTGATCCCGGTTCTTGGTAAGCCAATGGTTAAAGGAATGGAAGATGCTGACCATATTCCTGGGCGCCAACGATCCATGCTCACCCTCTTGCCTATTTGCAAGCTGGCCAGGTCCCTCGACTACCTGTACGCGCAGATGCCCTGGGTCATTGTCAACTTGATCCCGGTTCTCGGTAAGCCAATGGTTAAAGGAATGGAATATGCTGACCATATTCCTGGGCGCCAACGATCCATGCTCACCCTCCTGCCTATTTGCAAGCTGGCCCGGGCGCTTGACTACCTGTACGCACAGATGCCCCGGGTCATTGTCAACTTAATCCCGGTTCTTGGTAAGCCAATGGTTAAAGGAATGGAATATGCTGACCATATTCCTGGGCGCCAACGATCCATGCTCACCCTCCTGCCTATTTGCAAGCTGGCTAGGGCGCTCGACTACCTGTACGCGCAGATGCCCCGGGTCATTGTCAACTTGATCCCAGTTATTGGTGAGCCAATGGTTAAAGGAATGGAAGATGCTGACCATATTCCTGGGCGCCAACGATCCATGCTCACCCTTCTGCCTATTTGTAAGCTGGCCAGGGCATTCGACTACCTGTACGCGCAGATGCCCCGAGTCATTGTCAACTTGATCCCGGTTCTTGGTAAGCCAATGGTTAAAGGAATGGAATATGCTGACCATATTCCTGGGCGCCAACGATCCATGCTCACACTTCTGCCTATTTGCAAGCTGGCCAGAACACTCGATTTACTGTACGGGCAGATTTCACGGGTCGTCATCAACTGGATCCTGGTTCTGGGTGAGTCATTAATCGAAGGGAATCTTTGCCAGCTGACCATATTCTTGGGAGCTAACAACAGGCCAGTGCGCTCGACTACCTGTACGCGCAGATGCCCCGTGTCAAAATGCTGGTAAAAAAAATGTATATTTATTTAATCATTATGTAATGAAAGGTTAATTCATGAATCACCTCTGAAGTAATTTTTCAACTTGAAGACTCTGTAAATAATAAAACAGGGAGAAAAAACAGCCCTTGCTGAGTTTCTTGCCGGTTCTTCTTAGTATAAAGTCTTCCGCCGTAGATTTACGAACCGATGGCGTAGCTTCTAGAGTGATTCATGAGTGCATGTAACAGCCTAAACTGAATAAATGATTTTGATTATGATTGATAATGGATAGCTTTAGCTATGCTTATGCTATGAAAGCTATGAGGAGCTCGATGGTGCAAGTGATTAGCGCGTTCGGCTGCGATCGTTGAAGTTAAGCAGCTTTCACAGTGGTCGGTCATTGGATGGGTGCCAAAAAATTTACTATCTCGAGCTCCTCCGTGCTTCGGAAGGCACGTTAAGCCGTTGGTCCCAGCTGCATCTGCAGTCGTTAGTACCCACTAATCTGCACTGGGCCCGCGTGGTGGGTCATGGCGCAATCTCCCTATTCCATCCATAAAAAAGGCCTGTGCCCCAGCAGTGGGGACATTAATAGGCTGATGATGATGATAGCTTCAGCTTATCTTCTAATATGGCAGACGTGTCGGTGTCGGTGCGCGTGAGTCGTCCGTTGATGTGTCGGCTGATGCATCCGCTGTTCTGCACGTGCTTCCACCGCGGCGGCTCCGAGCTGTCGCGCCTCGTCGCCATGGCGCGCCTCTACCAGAAGGCAGAGGAGCAGTTGGTGAGCTAACAATACTATTTACTCACTTTTTCAACACGTATACGCTCAAAAGAAGCATTTGTACGGAGATAGTATACATTGTACGAAGGTTCAAAATTACGGGCCATACAACGGAGCGTGCGGTGAAATATTTACCGCACGCTCCCATACAGCCGTGCGTATCCTTAAGGTCCTTTTTTAAATTTCGGACGAACCTCCTTGTCAACGCGTTTAATCTATATCTCTGTTTCACTTTAATCCTTAAAAGGAAAAGAGACGAATGATGTAACTATAATTTTCGTCACCCGCACGTGGCGCCATTTCCGTATTAGTGAGAGCTTGTTATTATTTAATTGAATAAGGTATAAGTACTGCTTTCTCAAAAATGTGTAGAAAAACGTTGTATGACATTCGTGCGGAATTGGTATTTGAAAACGTACTTACATTCGTCTACTCGTTTGTTATAACTATTTTACCGCAATTATATCATAAATAATTATTAAACTTTTGAAGAGAATAGCGTTTGCGTGTTGTTTTTTAAGGGGGGAGTGATGTAGCGTCTGCGTGGACTTTAAATCTGTAACACGTAGAGCTCCCGATTTATAGCTGATGCACTTAATATTAGTTAGGAAAATTAGTATATAAGATGTAAATAGAAATAAATATTGCTCTTAGTTTATCAAGCGACACAGTGGCTGTTTGATTCCTCATCTCCCGTAACTAGGAGCCAAAAGGTGTATAAAATATTTAATAAATATTTATTGCATTTAATTTTTACTATTTTTTTATATCTGGACAGTTCTAGGCATTTTTATAAACACCTCCTTTAAAACATGATAAATTACTTTGACGTTTTGTTTGTAAATAGATTTAAGACTAGATAGAACATAACTCTTAGTTAACTAATTGCACTTCCAAAAGGTAGCCGTCTTTATACGTATGTAGTTGAAGCATACTTCATGACCTTATGTGGTCTTCTATTTATTCCGATCTAAGTGCCTGAGCATGTAGAAAGCAAAGGCCTATCAACTACAACTGCCAGTCGATGTCCTGGCAACCATAGTTACTCCATTATTTCAGTGCCTTGTTTTTGAATGTTTCATTTGTTTTGTACGCAGGTTCAGAGTGATCGGTACACAGGCCGCGAAGACTTCGAGGTGGTGGTGCAGCCGTTCATGAGGCTGTTCAACCTGAACCCCGCCGCCCGACCGCCGCTGACCCGCGTCATACACCAGTCTTACATCACACACGACTGCTTCCACTTCTCTCAGAAGGGGCACGCGCTCGGTACGTGCCTGTCTTACACAGTCCTACATCACACACGACTGCTTCCACTTCTCTCAGAAGGGGCACGCGCTCGGTACGTGCCTGTCTTACAAAGTCCTACATCACACACGACTGCTTCCACTTCTCTCAGAAGGGGCACGCGCTCGGTACGTGCCTGTCTTACACAGTCCTACATCACACACGACTGCTTCCACTTCTCTCAGAAGGGGCACGCGCTCGGTACGTGCCTGTCTTACACAGTCCTACATCACACACGACTGCTTCCACTTCTCTCAGAAGGGGCACGCGCTCGGTACGTGCCTGTATTACATAGTCCTACATCACACACGACTGCTTCCACTTCTCTCAGAAGGGGCACGCGCTCGGTACGTGTCTGTCTTACACAGTCCTACATCACACACGACTGCTTCCACTTCTCTCTGAAGGGGCACGCGCTCGGTACGTGTCTGTCTTACACAGTCCTACATCACACACGACTGCTTCCACTTCTCTCAGAAGGGGCACGCGCTCGGTACGTGTCTGTCTTACACAGTCCTACATCACACACGACTGCTTCCACTTCTCTCAGAAGGGGCACGCGCTCGGTACGTGCCTGTATTACACAGTCCTACATCACACACGACTGCTTCCACTTCTCTCAGAAGGGGCACGCGCTCGGTACGTGCCTGTCTTACACAGTCCTACATCACACACGACTGCTTCCACTTCTCTCAGAAGGGGCACGCGCTCGGTACGTGCCTGTCTTACACAGTCCTACATCACACACGACTGCTTCCACTTCTCTCAGAAGGGGCACGCGCTCGGTACGTGCCTGTCTTACACAGTCCTACATCACACACGACTGCTTCCACTTCTCTCAGAAGGGGCATGCGCTCGGTACGTGCCTGTATTAGACAGTCCTACATCACACACGACTGCTTCCACTTCTCTCAGAAGGGGCACGCGCTCGGTACGTGCCTGTATTAGACAGTCCTACATCACACACGACTGCTTCCACTTCTCTCAGAAGGGGCACGCGCTCGGTACGTGCCTGTCTTACACAGTCCTACATCACACACGACTGCTTCCACTTCTCTCAGAAGGGGCACGCGCTCGGTACGTGCCTGTCTTACACAGTCCTACATCACACACGACTGCTTCCACTTCTCTCAGAAGGGGCACGCGCTCGGTACGTGCCTGTATTAGACAGTCCTACATCACACACGACTGCTTCCACTTCTCTCAGAAGGGGCACGCGCTCGGTACGTGCCTGTCTTACACAGTCCTACATCACACACGACTGCTTCCACTTCTCTCAGAAGGGGCACGCGCTCGGTACGTGCCTGTCTTACACAGTCCTACATCACACACGACTGCTTCCACTTCTCTCAGAAGGGGCACGCGCTCGGTACGTGCCTGTCTTACACAGTCCTACATCACACACGACTGCTTCCACTTCTCTCAGAAGGGGCACGCGCTCGGTACGTGCCTGTCTTACACAGTCCTACATCACACACGACTGCTTCCACTTCTCTCAGAAGGGGCACGCGCTCGGTACGTGCCTGTATTACACAGTCCTACATCACACACGACTGCTTCCACTTCTCTCAGAAGGGGCACGCGCTCGGTACGTGCCTGTCTTACACAGTCCTACATCACACACGACTGCTTCCACTTCTCTCAGAAGGGGCACGCGCTCGGTACGTGCCTGTCTTACACAGTCCTACATCACACACGACTGCTTCCACTTCTCTCAGAAGGGGCACGCGCTCGGTACGTGCCTGTCTTACACAGTCCTACATCACACACGACTGCTTCCACTTCTCTCAGAAGGGGCACGCGCTCGGTACGTGCCTGTCTTACACAGTCCTACATCACACACGACTGCTTCCACTTCTCTCAGAAGGGGCACGCGCTCGGTACGTGCCTGTCTTACACAGTCCTACATCACACACGACTGCTTCCACTTCTCTCAGAAGGGGCACGCGCTCGGTACGTGCCTGTCTTACACAGTCCTACATCACACACGACTGCTTCCACTTCTCTCAGAAGGGGCACGCGCTCGGTACGTGCCTGTATTACACAGTCCTACATCACACACGACTGCTTCCACTTCTCTCAGAAGGGGCACGCGCTCGGTACGTGCCTGTCTTACACAGTCCTACATCACACACGACTGCTTCCACTTCTCTCAGAAGGGGCACGCGCTCGGTACGTGCCTGTCTTACACAGTCCTACATCACACACGACTGCTTCCACTTCTCTCAGAAGGGGCACGCGCTCGGTACGTGCCTGTATTACACAGTCCTACATCACACACGACTGCTTCCACTTCTCTCAGAAGGGGCACGCGCTCGGTACGTGCCTGTCTTACACAGTCCTACATCACACACGACTGCTTCCACTTCTCTCAGAAGGGGCACGCGCTCGGTACGTGCCTGTCTTACACAGTCCTACATCACACACGACTGCTTCCACTTCTCTCAGAAGGGGCACGCGCTCGGTACGTGCCTGTATTACACAGTCCTACATCACACACGACTGCTTCCACTTCTCTCAGAAGGGGCACGCGCTCGGTACGTGCCTGTCTTACACAGTCCTACATCACACACGACTGCTTCCACTTCTCTCAGAAGGGGCACGCGCTCGGTACGTGCCTGTATTACACAGTCCTACATCACACACGACTGCTTCCACTTCTCTCAGAAGGGGCACGCGCTCGGTACGTGCCTGTCTTACACAGTCCTACATCACACACGACTGCTTCCACTTCTCTCAGAAGGGGCACGCGCTCGGTACGTGCCTGTATTACACAGTCCTACATCACACACGACTGCTTCCACTTCTCTCAGAAGGGGCACGCGCTCGGTACGTGCCTGTATTACATAGTCCTACATCATACACGACTGCTTCCACTTCTCTCAGAAGGGGCACGCGCTCGGTACGTGCCTGTATTACATAGTCCTACATCACACACGACTGCTTCCACTTCTCTCAGAAGGGGCACGCGCTCGGTACGTGCCTGTATTACATAGTCCTACATCACACACGACTGCTTCCACTTCTCTCAGAAGGGGCACGCGCTCGGTACGTGCCTGTATTACATAGTCCTACATCACACACGACTGGTTCCACTTCTCTTAGAAGGGGCACGCGCTTGGTACGTGCCTGTATTACACAGTCCTACATCACACACGACTGCTTCCACTTCTCTCAGAAGGGGCACGCGCTTGGTACGTGCCTATCTTACACAGTCCTACATCACCCACGATTGCTTGCAGTAGTAACAAGTGGTGTTTCTTACACAAATATAAATATATCTAATAGTCCGTGTTATTTCCAGCGGCCAACCTTCTATGGAATAACTTGCTGGAGCCGGTAGGAAACAAGTCAGCCAACGCGCGTCCAACTCTTCTGGACACCATACGCTGTCCACAAAAAGAAGCGCCATACATCTTCACCAGGAGAAACTCAAAGACTTACCTCGAGACCGGATTGCAGGATGGCGCGTATGAAACCAGTTAATACCATGACCATCACAGCCTATAGTTTCAGTTTGAATCCTCTTAATGTCATGACAATTACGATGCACTAGCACCGAGCAATATGATAACATATTAGTTTTTTATCACGTCTAACTGTCCAACTCCATAGTACTTTGATAAAAACGTGACATATATCATATCGCAGTGCTAATGCTAAGGAATTGAACTTATCACGATACGGACGTACAAGTCAGCTCGTACGACTCCTGATATAATGACCATCTCTTAACTTCACGATATTTTAAGCTTACCAATGTTCATCTTTGCTGCTACAATAAGAAACACCATGTATCTTTACCAGGAGAAATTGTAAAACATACCTTGAGACAGGAGTGCAAGTAGGCGCGTATGTAACCAGTCATGACCATCAGTCATTGGATTGGTGACCAAAAACTTAGCTCCGCCGTGCTTCGGAAGGCACGATAAGCCGTTGGTCCCGGCTGCATCTGCAGTCGTTAGCACCCACTAATCCGCACTAGGCCCGCGTGGTGGGCCACAGCCCTGTCTCCCTACATCCTCCTCATTCATCTATAGAGAAGGCTCTGCCCTTACAGTAGTATTGTGTTATCAGAACAGTTAACTTGGAACGGTAGGCTAGATGATTGGGGATATATTTTCACCAAAATAAAAAAATAGCTTTGTGAATGAAAATTTGTTATTCCTATTAACTTTAATAACCGTTTTTTTAAATATTAAAAAAAATCTAAATGGGGGGCGAGATTGATGATAATTTTCTCCAAAACCGGGTTGCTCGTCAGATAATAAAAAATAATAATATTCAAATAAAGTGAACTTTTTTAGGTCGCACATTTCAATGCCCTACATTTTTTGTATAAAGTAACATAAGGTAGAAATCAACGAAAAAATGTATTAAAATAAACCTTGCTTAATTGTAAATAGAATATAAGAAATATTTCAGGATTCAGAAAGAATATCCATAGATACCTAGCTATGGATATTCTTCAGATTTTCCCTAGGCACAGATTATTACCCTAAGGCCAAGACTATGTATGGCGCGACTGCGAGAGGCAGAAGCCAAACAAAGGCATTCCTTATGTGAACTATATTCTGATTTGATTTACTTATTCTAGGGAGATCGTAAGTGGCTTGGGACGCCAGATTTTAAAATACGCTCCTGCAGTAACCTATAGTTAAAAAAGATGTCCTGAATGAAAGAGAAAACATTTGGACAATTCAAAGGAGCTTTCAATAAGTCAATTTTAATTAAGGATAATTTTATTTCATTTCAAAATGAATGAATTAACACTTATTTAGTGAAACGAGAAGTGTAGACCTGAATTTTAGCTACCTGTATGGAATCCAATCTGTAATTCATTTTTTATACTTATAATAATATACCTTTTCATGTGTTTTTCATGAAAAGCAGAAATAGGGTCGCTGAATACAAAAATAAATAAGAATGGTTATTTCTTAGTAATATTAAAATCCTTTATCATTGTATCACAAAAATATTTACATGAAACCATAACTATTTATGTAATATGTGGCTATTATTTTTATTGGAAAATTTAGGAACAACTAAAATCGATATATACAAAAAAATATACTTACTAAACGGTATTTATTATAAGTACTTGCATGTATGTATTAAACCAGGAATAAGCTTAGACTAGTTACGCCGTGTTTTGTTCATGTCACTCAAATGCCATTTGTCATTCAATAGACAGAGACAAATCATGGAGTAACTAATCCAGGCGTAATCTTCGTTTATTAATAAAGGGGAAGATTAAACATAATCAAAGTTGTGATTAGTTATCTCCCAAAGTTCTTTTGATAGGTATACACGTAAGTTATCTTGTTGGCTATTTGTATAAAATTAAAACCATGACAGTACCTATGTGTCTATAATTGAGGGGATGTAAGTCTAATTGGTCTAAGTTCCAAAAAATTTAAAGTTAATATTTTTGCGAAAATACGGAATAATGTCCAAATGGATACAAATGCTGGTATTAAATTAGTACTTAGACCGTTTAGACTTACAACCCTTCAATTATTAATGATTCAATAAAATTTATGACATTAATACTTATTTTCGCTTCCTCAGCCTTTTGTAACTTAGATTCAGCATTTTATTTATACCTACCTTTTTATACTTACAAAAAAGCGCTGTGTGATCCATTGTAATATTTTTTATTTTGGTATGCTCTAGTGCCATTAAATATAAATAAATGACCATACCAAATGAATTTTAAGTAAGATAGTTTGTTTAGTGCTGGTATTTAAATAATAAAGATTGTAAAAAAACAACTGGTTTATTTGTTTTATTATATGGTATAAAACGAGATGGATGGAAAGTGGTAGTCAGTGTCCGGCAGTGACGAAACATAAATCATTTATGAAAGCTTGTTTTATATGATAACATAATTAGATAGGTAGCTACTTTTTTATCCCTGATTAATTTTAAATCGTGTTTAAAAACTTAACAATTTTGTAAGGATGCTGGCCACCCTGTCATTAGTACCGGCATTATTTTTAGTTGGCAACTTAGTTATAACCACAGAACACAGAAACTTCTTTCTGTGTTCTGTGGTTATAACATAGAGCAACACGGCTGATGCGGCCAGGGGGCCATTCGCCTAAAGGAAATGCTTTGGAAAACGCTAACGCTTACGATTTCATTTTGTTATTTCTAGCCGCCTGAGGTTTTCAAATGCCTCACGCTCTTTTTCTTCTTTTGCAATGGTAATAACAATATTAGAGAAAATGAGCGTGAGGTATGTGAAAACCTTCGGCGGTCAGAAATAAAATCGAAAGCGTTAGCGTTTTACTTAGCATTTCCATTAGGTGAATGGCCGCCTTCTGACCGCTGAAGGTTTTCAAATGCCTCGTGCTCCGTTTTTTTTCTTTAACATTGGTAATAACAATATTAAAGAAAATGAGCGTGAGATTTTCAAATACCTCCTTCGGTGGTCAGAAGTAACAAAAAGAAGTCGTAAGCAATAGCGATAGTCATAGCACTCCCGTCATACGATCATAGCACGAATATGTTCTCGATGCAGATCCATTTTTTAATGAGACAGGACAAAATAATTTATTCTCGAAAAAATGCGGAGGGAAATTTAAAAATCGAGCAGTGGTATTTTTACTTTTACAAGAATAATTACAAGTGTCCAGTGTCTTATATATAAAAACTTTTTTTCGAAAAACTGTATGAGTGGCCTGGTATATGTGAAATTTAACACCATTCTTTAGTTAGATGTTCCAGATATGTTTTGCAGCAAATTACAGATAGTCCAGTCGGAATAGCCATAATTTGGACCGACTTCTATTCTAAGACACCAGCGCTTAGCCAATTTTTTCCTAGGTAGTATAGACCCCCACGAATATGCCCTCCATTTGTCCCCGCTAGAACCCGTGTTTTGTAGCCAGGAAAATTGTTTAAACAAAGAAAAACCGTTTTTTTTGAGTTTTTTTGCTTGTAAACGGGGATTTTGAAAATTTTTTTGAATCAAAGTTGTTCATTAGCTTGCCCTCTACAAAATCAGTTCTATGAAAAAATAACGTGAGATTGTTAGTTTAGCAGTAAATTGCAATTATGTCGGTTTTACGTTTGCAACAATTCAACATGTTATAATAAACATTTTGATTTCTAAAGTAGTTTATCATGTGGGTAACGCCACTCCCAAGAGAGTCATGTAAAATTTATCGACCTGTGTCGCAAACTTTAGCAACAATTCTCAATCTCCGAAAAAAAAGTACTTGCCTGTCCCGTCTTTCCCAGAAGGCGCACAGCGGGAAAAAAATTCAGGTGATTCGATTCACCAAGAATTTTGAGGAATCGATCGAGTAGAAAAAAATCGTTAATAAAAATGTTCGTTTTTGGACGATTTAAATTTTTTTTAAAAATTGACGTAGAATTTTTTTTTTAAACTAATGTATTCTTCTCTCACTACCACTCTTCATACAAAGAAACGTCTCCTTTCAGTTCAATCGGAAACCGGAAAGTGTGTCAAATTTAACTTCCAAGATTCCATCACACACAGCCAACCGACAGGTGAAACTAAATAAAAGCTTGTAAAATTATAATTCAAATAAAACTAGTTTTAACGGTTTAATGCACGAAACTTTATTTATTTATTGACGTTTTGCAACCTTTTCAGGTCTGCATCGTCAGAATACTGATGAGTAGAGTAGAGTAGACCTGAAAAGGCTGCGAAACGTCAATAAATAAATAAAGTTTCGTGCATTAACCCGTTAAAACTAGTTTTATTTAATGAGTGATGTGCGTGAAAACCTAAGAAACAAATAAATTATAATTTAGTTTTTACACCAATTTAAAACGTAGTTTACGGTGTTATTTTGGGAACTATCAAACGCTGTTATCGCAGCTATCACTTATGAACATTACCTACACTTCTATCAAGAGCCTGAATATAAAATTATAGCAATGGAGCTTCGCTATAATTGTGCCTGCTTACTTCTGTCGAGACGTTTTAGTGTACCTACGTAAAAATAAGATATTTTTATATGAGCAAAAAATTCATGAGGGATATTTTTAAAGATAATGATGTTTCTATTTTATTCTTACAAGAACACAACGGGACTCCAACTGACTTCTATGTTTTAGAAGAGGAAAGTAAATACTAAGTTACGGACTTTTCATAACATTGTCAATACAAATCTTATATTGAGCTTATGTATTATTAAGTTATGTAAAAATGCTAATTACATTTTTTAGAAAACAGTGACTGCAATGCAAAGGGCATAACAGTATAAAAGTACTAGGAGTTATGTGGTAGAATACAATATTTATTTATTGCGCTATCGTACACAAACATGACAATTTATATTACATTAAAAAGTTTATCTCTCAGAAAAATCAACTTACATGAATCACATTTAAACGCACCTAGCGACATCTATTGTAAAAAAATGCATTTTCTTCGCAATAAAGCTGCCACTTGGACATCCTAGATAGAGACTTATTATTATAATGCGATAAAATAAAATATAAGTATGTTTTGTCTAATACATATATTGAAAGTCAACAAACAACCTTTCCAATTTTATTGTTTTCGTCTTACGAATTTTCGATTAGGTCCTGACGCAAGTTTAACACTTTTAACAAAATAAGTGTACCTACAAAGCCGCTAAAGAAGTTTTCATTTCAAAAAACAACCCAAATTTTAGAGAACTATATAAAATGCTAAATAGATAATAAATATACACGCGAGCCAGGGTCTCTAATCTTAAAGTTTCCTTCCGATATTTTGCGTTCGTTTTCGTTTTCTATCCTATTCTAATATACTTACATAGTTACTGTCGTAAAGAAGGACACGGCACGGCGAAGTTCACATAGTACCGAATGTTGATTTTAAGAGTAGACATGCCCTCAGTCAGTCTATGACATTGTATAAATTATAAAGACGTAACGTGCTGTAATTATACGGCTCGTTGAATATGGTACCCAGCCCAGTACATACTAATTGTCCATTATTTTAGATTAAGAACAGGGGATTGTTCGAGATAAATAAATATTCGTCCATCCATCACACATTACTCCGAAGACCTAGGTGGGTATAAATAATGCATTTTTTTTTACAATTTGGACATCAGGAGATTACATTTTAATATTTTGTAGTGAATTGTGCGTGTGACCGCCGCTTTTCTATCAGAATTTCAATGACCAAAATAACAAATCTCGGAAAATACATCCGTTGCTGACAATTTTTGTCAGTTCTTCTCACTGCAAGGTTTCCCGCAATAGATTTGTAAAACAGCTTCTTTTTATGTATTTGTAACGCGTAATTAATTTAAATAAAGGATTTTTCAAATAAAAAACTTATTATTTCAGATTGAATACTAAATTTTTACAAAGGTGCATTTTACCCCGCCCGACCGCACCGAAGGTAATAAAGGACCTGTCCGACGACCTGTGTTGTCGCAGAGTTGCCAAACATATGACGTTTGAGATTTAACAGTCTCTATACATGGTACAAGGTAAATAGAAATCTCGTACGTTAAGCAAAGAGATTGCTCTCGAAGTCGGTGCATTTCGAACTCGCCGCGTACGGACCCCCGTAAAAACTTTTGTTCGTCTGCGTGGTACCCCTACGTCGTTGCCCTACGCTCCGCTCATGTGTCTTTTCGGAACGACCAGTTTCATAAATATGAAATTGAAAATGCAAGAACCACTGGATTGTCGACCTTATTATGGATGATCGCATGGCAATGCAAATCCAAAGAGATTTTCCGACGCGAGGCGAGAGTATCCTGCCCCACCATACCAGATACAAACATAGATGGGTACATAAATGGATAATAACCATACAACCACTTATAAATATACCTGAGAAATTTGTGTTGTATCTTCTCAATCATATAATTGTATTTATGTTCATACGGGTCTATTGTATACGGGTATGTTCTAATTCTCAAAATTTATTCAATGAATAAAGTGTAAACTTGAAAAATATACTAAACTAATAATATAAATTGACTTATTTGTTGGAAAAAATATAAAGATCGTTTTTAAATTTATTTCTTAAGTCCTTTTTAACCACTTATGTTTCTGTTGTGAACTCAACATAGGTGGTAACAAAAGACCACCTAAGCTTTCTATAACATTGACAAATTTGTTTAAGATTGTCACAAAAAGGGATTCTAAAATATCATTATTCCAGGAAATAACATTCTCATGTTTGATTCATCGTCTTTGGTAACATGCGGTCGCAGTAATGAATGTACAGCATTCATACGTATTTTTAGCTCACTGCGCTGTACAAATAAAGTTAAGAAGTAAAGAATTTATACAAAAAGAAAATCTCAGAATTATAAATTTTATTTTGATAAAAAAAATGTTTATACAAAATGTGCATCTTGGAAATGGATATCAAATAATATTTTATTTTTGACTGTTTTAGTGATAAAGGCCCACACATTTAAATAGACTTTTTTGTTTAAGTTATTATATTCATTTTTATTTTTTAAACATGTAATGTAATTTTTATTTTTTAAACATGTAACTGCTTGCTGTTTAAATCTAAAATTGGCCAGTGCATTCGCCCGGAAAGTGAAGGGTGCGGGTTCGAGTCCCGTCGCTGCCTGGTCCGCGAGATTTTTTCTATATTTATTTTATTATATTCAAGTTCAACTTTCATTGTTTTTGCCAAAATCGCTCACAAGTGGGAAATTGCTTTCGTCTTACGTGATACTTAATGTTATATTGTGTTGGCCACAAATTGTTGTTAAATCGTTGTAAATCCTAAACAGTCTCTTAAAATGAAACCGGAAGAACAATGAACCTAAATATGTTTTTTGATTATTTAGACAATGATACCACTCGACATATTTTGTCAATTTTTTTTTCTTTCTCACAATTTGGTGCCTAATTGTCCCCATATTGAATTTCGATTATTTTCATATCTTTAGTAGCACTGCCATGATTAAGACGAATCGATTGACGTATGAATCATCAAAATCGGTGCAGGCGTTTGGTGTTTAGTGTGTTACAAAGAAACATACATACATATATAGCTGTTAAACATAAACACTATACCCTGTCTGCGCGTCGCGCTTCGCGCTCATGCATTGCGCAGTCAAGTCAAAAGAAATCCAACTTCATACAAACCCACAAAAACCACAAAAATTAAGTAACAATAAAATTCTTATCCTTCACCTAAATTATATTGCAAGTTAAATTTACAAACCTGAACCTTCTCTGTTTTTGGAGCTCAATTAAAAAACAATATATTTCATGTCCTAGCGGTTAGAGATCCTGACTGCAAATCCAACGGCTTCGGATTCGAATCCCGGAGGGGGTAAATGTTTGTTTTTCTAACAGTAATGGATGTTTATATATATTTAATATGTTATCTAGCACCCATGCCATGGTACAAGTTACAATCAGTTTGGGACTAATACATTGTTGTTGAGAAAGTGTCCAACTTTAATATATTTATAGTTGATATCAATAATAATAAACAATAATCATAAAAAGTCAAAGGCAAATACGGACAAGTACGAATCGGGCTCAACCCATCGAGGGTTCAATACTTTGCAACATGAACGGCCATATTTTTTTAACGTTAACTTTGAAGTTTGATTTTTGCACAGCTTTAAGAGTCCACAGAATTGAGTATATGTTCAAAATTTCAACTCAATACCTCCACGTGCTCCCGAGAGAAATGGCCTTGATAGACGACAGACAGACGGACAACAAAGTCTTAGGAGGGCTCCGTATTTTTCTTAACTAAAAGGAATTCTTAAAATAATAAAAGCCTTCTTAAAAAGTAGGCAGTAGACAACTTTTCGATTTTTAAACAGGAGGTAAGGCTAATGGGAGGAAAAGTTAGATGAGGGTTCCTGATCTTCGTAAGCCATTCTATCAGTAGGGAAAACGCTTCCTTACTGATAGGATGTCATATGTAGGCGACTACCTGTATTTCACGATCCAGACTTAATACACATACTTATTTTATTTCTAACAACAAAAATTAAACCATAATGTACAATTCTAGGAGACTCATTAAATAAAATATCTAAATAAATAGGTATTTAGATTTTCTTATTAAAAAGATATATCCCTAACATAGATTAGGTCGTTTGATATGTCAACTATCAAGGTATTACACTAAATTCGGGCTTTCATGTATTACAACTGAAAAAACCGTGTCTGGCCCCTCTAATGTAGGGTATGCTGTATTTAGGGGGCAATTCTCAAAGCCCGGTAGAATTTGTTTAGAATCTTTGTATATTGCATTCTTACTATCAAAAAAATTACGGTTAAATAATGGATAATTCTTAAATAGCTATATTCTTTTACAGACATTATGGTGCACACTAAAAAATAACCAATTAGTGGAATGGGTTCCCGAACATTTGGGATATAATATAACTCATCGGTTAAATAATAGGTAAAGAAAGAATGAAAACATTTATTGGTTACACAGCATATATTAAAAACAAAACAGAATAGAAAATCATAACGACAAGGAAAATAATAAAAACAAAAAAAATAATTTATGGTGCTGCTGTGCAGAGTCAACAGGTCGCTGTCTCAGCTATGCTACTGTGGTAGTACTTTCACAATACCACAGCAGCGCTGATTTTCAGCTAGCGCCTAGTGACGTCAAAAACGTCAAACAAAATAGGTACATAATGATATTGCGGTAACTTAAATACCATTTCTTAAAATATATTTTAGCAGCAAGTACAAAACAAAACGTGAACCTATGAATTACCTATCGAAATAACTAATAGCAAAAGTAAGCGCGATAAAAGTTTCCGAGTATGCATAAGAATAAAATTACAGAAAATATTTCTTGAATTGAATAAATATATTGAATGAACTTTCTTATTTTTCAATGCATTTACAAAAAAAATAGCAATTAGGTAAAATAAAAGTAAGGGTTAAATTTGTATATTTGTTTAATGGTTGAAAAAATATGAGAAATATTCTAGCCGTTCAAATGTAGGTTTCTCTATTTATAGCTAAGGTCCTGATTGCATTCGTTAACGTCCAACAGTATATCATCCAACAATCCACTGATGAGGTGAAGCCTCGTCCTCCCTATTCCGTCCATAGGATACTTCTGTGCCCCAGCAGACATTAAAAGTAATGATGAAGTTGTTGATAATGTGATTATGATACGAATGGTGGTATTTTTCTTTATAATAAAGAAACTTCAGATTATGAATGGACCCCAAGAGATAGAAGAAGTAGTAGAGAGTAAGTTTATATAATACTTAATTTCAAGAAAATGTTGATAAATCAAGTGAAAAATATTCGAGATTTTGTAACCCATCCCAAATTTTGAAAACGTTTATTGGCTTGAAAGTTAAAAAAGATGCTTTTTGAGAGATAATTTTGTCGATCGCTCTCAGAATAGGTGGTCTAGCGTTCTGCCCTAGCGAAACTATATAAGCCGAGGGTTCAGCGACAGGCGCACAGTCAGGCCCGGTGCGTTGCCTCGCGAACCGCCAAGCCGTTCATTCCAGTCTCTCACACACACACACCCTTCTTCACTCCAAAATGGTAAGTCGAAGTACCATAAACAAATTTACTATAAAATGGCAAAAAAAATATCTTAATATAAATATAACTTGTGCGTCACGTTGTTTGTCCGGAATGGACTCCTGAACTGCTTCACCGATTTTAATCAATTTGCATACCGTGTGCAGTTTGAACTAACTTGAAAGATAGGATAGCTTACATCTCAATTTGTAGTCGTAATGCTATTTTATTGCAAATTATTACTTTTGGGCGGCACAAAGTTTGCCGGGTCAGCTAGTCTACTTGTAAACAAAGAAAAAAGTAATTAATAATATATAAAAAATATTCCAATTTATGTATTCCAGTTTCCACAAAATTTTAATAACAAATAGTAAATAGGGTCAAAGCTCCAAATCTTCGTACCATCATAAACTAGATATACATAGTCCCTTTTATTGTGTTTATCTACATATATTGAGTCAGGGATAGTTATGTCCCAAATCCTAAGTTAGTTTATAAATATAAAGAATTGTTTTGTTTTTTCGTTTTTTCTCAATAATGGTAAACCATAAAAGTTTACAGCAACTGCATTTAATATTCTGTAACTATACCTGTAACTGTAGTCTATTAATTAAATGTAAATTACAAATATTACGAGGTCATAAACCCCCATATGTATGTTTAGTTGAAATTTATAATGTACGTGGAGGCAAACGAAACAATAACTTAAGTACAGACAATTTAATAATTTGTGACTTAATTAACAAGTTCCAATTATAGCCGATAACTACACACAATATCAGCACTTAACTTTTTTTAGAGGTAAGCAGATCATTACCAACCAAAACTTCTTAATCAAAAAAAAAATTAAGTTAACAAGGAATTCAAATTAATAATTTAATTACATTATGTATTTAAAAAGTTTGAATGATGAATTGCCGTTTTGCAGTGCCATTTTTAGGGGCTTATTATAAACGCTTTAATATTGTTTTCAACTTAATAATTTCGTAATATAAAAAACCTTCCTCATTTTGAGTATTTGAGGCTTTTTTCCATTGTTTAAGGAATATAATAACCATCCATAATAAATTGTTTTTTATTTTTTTGTATTGGTATAGACACAGTAACAATAAATTAGCAATTTTAATACACATTAAAAATAAAAACATTCTAATAACAATACAATGCAAGCCAATTAACCTTATAAATCATGCGCAACATTAAATATAAACTCCCGGACACATCTATCGGCCCACCTACTCGTAGCATTTTAAGTTCGAACTTTAAGGATTTGACGGCCCTTAGCTAAAAAAAAATATTACATTGAGTTTTTTTTACGCAGTTTTGAAGTTGATTTATTAACCATAATTTTCATGTGTTTTTAAATATATAATTATTCCCAACCTAACTTAATTAAATTTTTGCTACAGACCGTTGTTACTTATGACGCTAAGTGGGCCAATAGATGTGTCCGAATATATATTTAATGTTGCGCATGGTTTATTAGGTTAATTGGCTTCTTCTCTGGAAGTGTAGTACTCGTAGCAAGACATTAGCGAACAAACAGATTGAAATCTGAATTAAATATTTATTTTTCCTCGTTACCTTAGTAATATGCAAAGCCGAAACTCTGATAAGTCATAAATTAACCGAAGTTCCCCCACGTAATGTTGTGCTTCTGAAATAATTCGCTTCAGTCACGTAAGGCCGAAGCAGACTTCAGCAGGTAGAGTTTGGCAGCTGACGGATTTCCCAGACAAACATTTAATATTTTCCATTCCGTCTTCATGAAAAGCAATTCAATTATTTTATATTACCTATCTATTCCGCTTGCTGGAGTTTTAATAGCGAAATCCATACTAATGCGTAAGAAACTGTTTGTGTTTTATGTTTGCCCACTGAAACTGCTGAACCGACTTTGATGAACACACTTGCATGGAATCAGGATACTTTTTTAGAAGTTGAGCGTCTCGTTGTGTTAAGACAGTAAAATAGTAAGTAAGTGTTCTTAAGACACCATTCCAAGACACCCTTTATAATAAAACGGGCACAACTTACTTTTCTACAATAAAACTTGGAAGATATAAAAGCTTGGATGTGGAATAAATTTTTACAAAGCCGAAATTACGGCCCTACGCCGTTTCCTTATAAATTCTGAAAGTTGTATGCTTGGTTCAACAAGAAGACTTGTATGAGAGTCTTTTTCATAAAAGCTCAGCAAAATTCATCGTACCTGAAGTTAAATGTACATAAGTAGAGTTCAGTACCTTTAGCACGAAACATTATCGAATTCGAATAGTTTGCGAGTGCGAAATGTCAATGTCAAATTTTGTATGGAAACTTGAACAGCAGCGCCACAAAGTACGTAACATGAACTAAAAATCAATCGCAAACTATTCGAATTCGATAATGGTTTGTGCTAGGGGTACAGTTATGAAGAAAAATGTAAGTGATACCACAAAGCACTCCCAGAGTTGTCTGAACTTGTGGTACTATTCAGTTGTTTTTTAACTTCCAATTTAAAGAGAGGTATTCTTTGTTTACATATTTCTTTGGAAATAAGGAATATTTTCACTATAGTAATATAAGTTATTTACGGGATTGTTACCATGTACCTTGTTTTTAGCGAGTTTCCGATAGACTCCGTGATCATGGCGCTTGCAACAGTGCCGAAATATCGGAAACTCGCTAAAAACAAGGTACATGGTAACAATCCCGTAAATAACTCATATTACTATAATGCTAGTGACCATGAAAGAATATAACAAATATTTTCATATTTAAGGAAATAGCAAAAAGGTTAGTCGATATCACAGGAGACCGAACAACTGGCAGCTACCTCGGACAAAGAATTAGTCTAGCTATTCCAAGGGGGAACGCTGCCCTTCGGAACCTTGCCTAAAGGGACTCCTTTTAATAATATATTTTAGTTATTATATTATATTTTTAGGGTTTTCAGTTTTAGGTTCATTGTTCTAGTATACATTTTTATGTATAATTTATGAAGTTTAATTGATGTATGAGTAGATATCATATTGAATAAGTCCATGGTAGAATATGATGCTACGTCTGGAATAAGTTGACTCAAACAATAGTGGCAGGATGCCAACTCAAACTTTTATATTATCCGATACACTTTTAACTGACATATTCTAAACCTGGAGGCTAACTTGTACCGTTTGGCTGTAATGTACCATTCGAGGCGATTTTGTTACAAGTGCGGCAACTGCCTTTTACCATGTGTTTGTAAATGTATCGTTCGAGCTTTTAGCTCAAGTGTGCTCCATTTGCACTGAAACTTAGACGCAGAGATTATGTGTGCTCCATTAAATTTACTTAGTTAGGGAATAAGAAAAAAACGCAATTATCCAATTTATAGCAAAGAAGAATCATCAATGGTGGTACGAATTTAATCAATAGTCAAGGTACAAGTCCGTCTCCAGCTTCATTTTTTTATCTTTTTTTATCTCCCAACCAGCCTTTATGAACCCTTTAAAACATACACATTGAAATTCTCTATTTTGTTTTGGTATTTACCTTGGTAAAAATTATATACATCGGGGTCAACCCGGCCTGAAATTAATATCCTGAATCCACTACAGAATCATTATCATATTATATAATTTCGGATAGTTTCAGATTCGGATATTACATTTTTATGTAAGTAATAAAATAAATACAAAAATCTGCAACACGGATGTTACCATTTTTCGTACCAACTCAAAATTATTTACTACTTTTTTAAGAGATTCGGATACTGTATGTCGATATCCGATAGTTAATGTTATATGTAACGTCCTTTAAAATTATACATCCTTTTCTTTATATAAAATGACTCCCCGTGGTCACGAAATAGCTTGAGAGCGACGTAACGTTAAAAATGTAGTTTCCAAAACTATTAGAAGTTTCCTATGCAAAATGAAGTTAAGAAAGTGGCACAGAAAATTTTAAAATTTATGATAACTCCATCGGGCAGTGCAGCGTCTAACAGGTCCGTTAGTTTAAATATAAAATAATATAATATCGTGGCCTGTGTGAATCCCAATATCGCAGACGGTCACGGCTGACCAACCATAACCACAAGCAGTGACCAGGCCAGAATAAAATTGGTTTAAGGCAGGTAAACAGCAGCCTCGTTGTGATCACAAACAAATCATGAAAGCTTTTTAGTTGGAAAAATGTGTTGGTTTAAAAAGAGGTGTATTGGTTTACAAGTCAACATAACACATATATGAATAATTAAAGAAACAAATACTTAAGTTAAATAAGTATTAAGTGTTATAATTTTTATTATTTTTAAAGCATGTAACTGCTTGATGTTTAGTGAAGTATTAACACGTGTCTCACAGACAGCCGCAACCCCATGCGCGTCTGTCTGTGTGACACTTCGAACAACCCCCGTAGTATAGACGGACGGACTAATTCCTAGGTTCAAATCTCAGTAGGGGCAAATGTTTGTTTGTATTATACTTGTCCCTGACCAGGGCTTGATTTAGAGTTGTGTGCGCCCTAGGCTAACTATGAATATGCGCCCCCCTTTTTTTCATCAGGAAAATGCTCTACGTATACCTCGCTACCCTGCCTGTCCTGTCCTACCTTTTCATTCACATACAGACGAGAGCTTACGTAACCTAACATCATTGCCTGAAACTGTCAGTAATTTTTGAGAGCAACAAAATGCGGTACGTAGTGAAACCCATATCTAAAGGAAGAAAACATTAAAAAAAGAAAAAAAAATTAAAACACCTATCAAATAAATTCTATAGCGAAATCGTTTTATTTTTTCATTATATTATATGTATTAGGTACACCCGTACACTTTTTACACACTAAAAATTTATCCGTAAAACAAAATTACCGACTAAGAATTTTATTAAAAACTTGCTAAAAAGTATAAACTCAGAAGTTTTAGATGTCATCATTACCTCCAATTTTGCCTCTCATTTTTTTTCAATAGAAGTTATCTTATAGTTATAGTTAATTTATTTATCCCAAAAATCGCGATAGACCCATTACCCCTTCATAAAAGGTAGAGAATCGTG